GTGGAAGTCCAGGACTAGGATGTGGGTATTTGTGGGGAAGTGGATGGGGGTCACGTGTGAGCTAGGATCTGCGTCTGGTTGATGTGTGTGTGTGTTGGGGGGCAATGAGGACCCTCTGCCTGAGTGGGCAGGATGGGGTGTAGGGACAAAGTAGTGGGGACAACGTAGGCAGACCATGGAACCAACAGCCTAATTACAGGGTGTGTCCCTGCAACCCTGTCATTGGAGCTGACCGATGGTCTGGGCCATCACAGAACTGGGGAAGCAAAACTCTCCGCAGGCACCAAGGGGCTTTCACAATGCCATTTGCAGCTTAAGAAGAGTGACTTCATACGTGCAAAAGAAAGTTCATAACAGGTAGTGCCCCCTCATCCAAGGTGGATACGTTCCAAGACCCCCAGTGGATACCTGAAACCCCAGAGACAATACACTATGTTTTTCTGATCTGGTAACAGAGAGGGCTACTAAGTGACTAACAGGCAGGCAGCGTATACAGTGTGGATGTGCTGGACAAAGGGAGGGTCCATGTTTTAGGTGGGATGGAGAGGGATGGCATGAGATTTCATCATGATACTCAGAATGGCACACAATTGAAAACTTATGAATTGTTTATTTCTGGAATTTTCCATTTAATATTTTTATTTTTTGCCCAGGAAAAGAAGCATGCGAACCATTTAATATTTTTAGGCTGCAGCTGACCAGTTAACTGGAAACACAATTAAGGAGAGGGGCTACTGTAGACCAATGGAACAGAATAGAGAATCCAGCCACAGAGCCACACAAATACGGTTAAGTTGATTTTTTAGCAAGGCGCAAAAGCAAGTTAATGGAGAAAGGATTGAAGAATTGTCTTTTCTTCTTCTTCTTTTTTTGGAGACAGGGTCTTCCTATGTCACCTGGATGAGAGTACAATGGCGTCATCATAGCTCACTGCAGCCTTGACCTCCTGGGCTCAAGCGATCCTCTTGCCTCAGCCTCCCAAGTAGCTGGGACTGCAGGTGCGCACCACAGCACCTGGCCAGGATTGTCTTTTCAATAAATGGTGCTGGAATAATTAGACTGAGGATAGGGGGGACTACGGTGCAAAGAATAAAGAATGATACAACAAACGCTCGTGTGACTTAAAAAGCAGAATGTCACCAATGCCACTGGAGCCCCCTGGGTGTCTCCTTTCCCCAGTTACATCCCACTCCAGGGAACTGAACTTTGTGTTTCTCATTCCCTTAATTTTCTTTATAGTTTTGCTACATATGAATGCATCTCTAAAAAATATAATCTGTTCTCCATGTTGGGTTTTTTTAAACTAAGGTGAAATTCACATAACATAAAATTAAACATTGTAAAGTGAAAAATTCACTTAGCACATTCACAACGGTGTGCAACCATCACCTCTATCCAATTCCAAAGCATTGTCCTCACCCAGAAAGGACAGCGTGTACCCATTAATCAGTCATTCACTATTCTCCCCTACCTCCAGCCAGCAATCTGCTTTCTGTCTCCATAGACTTCGCTATGCTGGACATTTCATATAAATGGAATCATACACAATGTGACCTTTTGCATCTGGCTTCTTGGTACAATGTTTTTGAGGTTTATCCATGTTGTAGCATGTATCAGTACTTCATTCCTTTTTATGGCTAAATGATATTCCATCATATGTACGTACCACATTTTGTTTATCCATTCATCTGTTGGTGGACACTTGGGTCCTTTTCATCTTTTGGCTATTATGTATAATGTTGCTATGAATATTTGTGTACAAGTATTTACCTGAGTACCTGATTTCAGTTCTTTTGGGTATATACCTAGGAGTGGAATTGCTGGGTCGTATGGTAATTTTGTGTTTAACTTTCTGAGGAGCCATCATTTTACTTTCCCACCAGCAATGCACAAGCGTTCAAATTTCTCCACATCTTCACCAGCACTTGTTGTTTTCCATTTTTTGAGGAACTCTCCTACTGTTTTCTACAGTTGCACCATTTTGCATTCCCACTTTTGATCCATTTTGAGTTAATTTTTGTATATGGTATGAGGTAGCAGTCCAAACTCGTTTTTTTGCATGTGGATATTCAGTTGAGCAATTTGAAGAGATGGTTCTCTCCCATTGACTGGTCTTGGCATCCTGTTAGAAATCAATTGGTCATAGAGGTACAGGTTTATTTCTGGACTCTCAATTCTTTTTTTTTTTTCTTTTTACGAGACAGGGTCTTGCTCTGTCACCCAGGCTAGAGTAGAGTGCATGCAGTGGTGTCATCGTAGCTCACTGCAACCTCAAACTTCTCAAGTGATCCTCCTGCCTCAGCCTCCCGAGTAGCTGGGACTACAGGTGCATGCCACCATGCCTTTTAATTTTTTGTAGAGACAGAGTCTCGCTTTCTTGCTCAGGCTGGTCTCAAACTCCTGGGCTCAAGCAATCCTCCCCCTTTGGCCTCTCAAAGTGCTGGGATTACAGAGATAAGCCACCACACCCAGCCTGGACTCTCAATTCTATTCCATTGTTCTGTATGTCTCTCTTCATGCTGATACCACACTGTTTTGATTACTGTAGCTTTGTTGTAGGTTTTGAAATCAGGAAGTGTGAGTCCTCCAACTTTGCTCATTTTTTTCCAGTATGTTTTGGCTATCCAGGGTCCCTTGTGATTCCATGTGAATTTCAGGATGGGGTTTTCCATTTTTTCAAAAAAAATCATTAGAATTTTGATAGGGATTGCTTTGGGTAGTATTGTCATCTTACTATTGGGTCTGCCAATCCATTAATATGAATGTCTTGCAGTTTATTTAGGTCTTCCTTAATTTATTTCAGCAATGTTTTGTAGCTTTCAGTGCACAAGTCTTTTACTTCCTTATTTATATGTATCCCTAGGTATTTTATTCCATGTAAATGGAATCGTCTTCATTTCCTTTTTGGATTATTCATTGCACAACTGATTTTTGTGTATTGATCTTACAAATTCTGACATTTTTGAGCTTAGGTGGAATGTATTGTTTGGAGACTTGCTTTTTGTTCTCCGCATTAGGAATTATCTGAGGTGCAACATATAACTAGCTCATTCATCTTTTTTCTGTTGTACGGTATTGTCCACATGAAGATACCACAGTTCATCTCTTCTCCTAGTGGTGGAGAGTTGGGCTGTTTCCAGTCTTTTACTATTCAGCATTGCTCTGCACGTGCCGAGGGATGGTTCTCAGTCAGGGGTTGGGTGTCAGCATTTTTCAGAAGATCCTTATGATGCTAAAGTTCAGTCTGTGTTGAGAACCAAGTTCTAGAGCATACACCTAGGAGTATATACCCAGGGATACCCGAGAGTGTGCACCTTCAGTTTTATTTGATGCAAAATAGTTTTCCAACATGGTTGTATTGTTCTAGTACAGCATAACCAGTCTGCACACCCATCGGCAGCATATAGATTCCACTGTTCCACATCCTCAACAACATCTGGCATTATTAGACTTTTTAATTTTCACCAGTTGACCTCTCATATGATTTTAATTTGTATTTCCCTGATTAATAATTAGGTTGAACATCTTTTCATATTTATCAGTCATTCTTATTTCCTCTTTTGTCAAATGCTTATTTGTATCATGTGCCCATATCTATGTGTTTATATATTCTGCATATGAATCATTTGGTTGCAAATACCATCTCCCAGTTTGTGGCTTTTCCTGGCACTTTATATGATATTTTCATTAACAGAAGCTTTTCTTTTTATTGCGGATACATTTTTCAACCTGCTTTTATGTCATAAGAAATCTCTCGTGACATTGAAGTGATCAGGATAATCTCCTGTTTCTTTCTTTTGAAATGTTCAGTTTTACTTTTTCATATTTAGGTCTTTAGTGCACATGGAATTGATTGTTTATATAGGCTGTGCAATAGGGGTCCAATTTGATTTCTTTTCCTGATGCTTAACCTGATTTCTCACCACAGTTTACCAAGTAGTCCATGATATTGACTCCTTTCACCGCGCCAAATGCAATGCTTCCTCTGACACACACCAGGTTTACATGTGTGGTTCAGTTTCTGGCCTGTTTCCCACCCTTCTGCGGTCTTCAACCGATAATTACAGTCTCATTCTCATATCTCACTCTTCTTCGGGTCATTCACATTGGTGATTACGCAGGTATTTAAAATTCTTTGAATTTTTCTGGCAAAAACAGTGTCATGGCTCATCAGGCCTTTGTCCTTTTATCAGTGTGCAATTAAAAAAAAAAAAAATGCTCAGGTTTCAGACTGAGCCAGCTCCCAGCCGCTCCAACCCCTGGAGAGGAAGGACAAGTTTTAGGACAACAGCGGAACTTTCACATTCCAGTAGACATTCGAGATTATTTGCTCGTGGGTGTTGGTTTTATATCATGCCCATTTCACAGATGGGTGAAGAAGTGACCCAGCCTCTCTACCCCACTGGGGGACTGTGACCTGCCTCATGGCCCCCAGCCCCCCCCTTCCCCTCTGGAACCCTTGCCTCAATCTGCCCCGTCTGCCTCCCACACCAAGCTCTGGTTCTTCGCCTCCTGCTGCTTGGTCAGGTCGAGAAATGGAGCCCCAGGGAAGAGGGGGGCGTGACTTGGCCCTGGCCACGTCGTGGGTCTGTTGGGCCGCGGCAGAGCAACGGCCAGCCCCCAGGCCGCCGGATGTCCCTCGTTCCTGACCTTCTCTGGTTCTGATCGTGTCTCTGCCGCCCCAGGTCTCCCCTTCCAATTGCCTCCCTCTGGTCTCCGCCGTCTCTAACGTCCGGTCCCTGCAGCGAGACCCGGGCTCCACCCCTCTCCCGAGCGCCTGTCGGAGCCTTTGCTCTCCTCGGCCACCAGGGGACGCGCGCGGCCCAATCCGGCGCTGGAGCCGCCGAGCGCCCACCCCGTCCCTGCCGGAGCCCCGCCCCGTCCGGCCGCGGCCCCGCCCCTCCCGACGCCCCGCCCCGTCCGGCCGCGGCCTTGCAGTCTCCGCTCCCCCCGCGCCTGGGACCCCCGGCCCCTGTCTCGCCAGCTCGCCGGGTCCGGCCATGGGCCCCGCCGCTCGCCCTGCGCTGAGGTCGCCACCGCCGCCTCCGCCGCCGCCGCCCCCGTCGCCGCTGCTGCTGCTGCTGCCCCTGCTGCCGCTGTGGCTCGGCCTGGCAGGGCCTGGGGCTGCGGCGGACGGCGGCGAGCCCAGGGCCGGGGCGGGGCGGGGCGGAGCCCGCGCCGTGCGGGTGGACGTGAGGCTGCCGCGGCAGAACGCTCTGGTCCTGGAGGGTGTCAGGATCGGCCCCGAAGCCGACCCGGCGCCCCCACTGGGCGGACGCCTGCTCCTGGTGAGCGCCGCGGAACCATCTGGACGCCTCACCGACACCCCTCTCCCTAACCCGGCATAGACCCCGCACCTAGAACCAGCCTTCATCCGGGACCAAGCCCTGACAGTCCAGCGCCCCCTCCCCAGTCTGCCCAGGTCCCCAGCGTTCAGGCTTCCAAAACCTGAGATCCAGATGCCCTCCCCTCCGAACTCGTTCCCAGATCCTGGCCTTGCATCCCCTGTGCCCGACCCCCAGCTCCCTCTTCCTCCTCCTCCTGCCTCCCTCTGCTCATGGCCCCTTACCACACAGATGGACGTCGTGGATGCCGAGCAGGAGGTGCCAGTAGAAGGCTGGATTGCAGTGGCATACGTGGGCAAGGAGCAGGCGGCCCAGTTCCACCAGGAGAATCAGGGCAGTGGCCCGCAAGCCTATCCCAAGACCCTGGTCCGGCAGGTGCAGGGGGTGTTTGGGGGGAGGAGGGACGGAGGAAAGGGTTCCAAGGCATCTGCTGGAGCCAGGCTACCAGGTGGGCCCTAAGGAGCTTCCAGAGAAACCTTGGGCCTGGGCGGATCAGGGTACCCCAGTTTGGAGAATTGAGTCAGTATGGTGTCAAAGCAGGGGTGCGAGAGGAGGCCAGAGAGGTCAGAAAGCTGGACCAGGCGCTGAGAGTATGGGATGGGGAGTTCCTGCTGGGGGCCGGCTGGGGAACTGCCCTGCTAGGACCAGGGAAGGCACAGCATTGTTTGGATCCCACAGAGCATCTGGAGGGAAGGCAGGAGGAATGAGAGTTTCTGCCCTTGACCTCCAGGAGCTTATAGCTGGTCCAGAGTTTTACTCACCGCAGGGCCAGGAGCTAAGAGCAGCTGGGGTCACAGGTGGTTAGACTGGTGTGTGGGCAGGTATATGCTAGACTCCCGCCTTCTGTCCTCCTGCAGATGCGGCGGGCCCTCTTCCTGGGAGCCTCTGCCCTGCTTCTCCTCATCCTGAACCACAACGTGGTCCGAGAGGTAAACTGGAGCAGGCTGTGAGGGTGAGCAGGCTGGGGAACGGGGACCAAGGCCTGCTGACCTCCCTGTCCCCCTGCAGCTGGACATATCCCAGCTTCTGCTCAGGCCAGTGATCGTCCTCCATTATTCTTCCAATGTCACCAAGCTGTTGGAGGCACTGCTGCAGTGAGTTGGGGTCAGGCTCTGAAGGACTGTGCCTGGGAGCCTGGATGCTGAGGGTCTCTGCATCTCCCATGGGTTCAGGGGGCTCAGCCTTAAGACTGTTCTCTCCCAGGCTGCAAAATGGTCGAGGGGACAGGCAGGAGGTGCCAGGGTCTGGAGATTGGAGGTGGCTCTGTGCGCAGAGGGGACTGGCCCCAGGAAGGAGAAAGCCAGATACCTGATTGATCAGCTCTTCCCTGGGCTTGTGGGCTTCTGCAGCTTGGCTGGTATGAAAACTGGAAAAACCAATAGCCAGGAAAGGCCTGGGGACCAAAGCAGAAGGCCTGTAGGGGTGACGTTCTAGTGTATCATTCTCCCACAGGGCTGGGCTGGGTGGATCCATTTTGTTTCCCAAGAGCCCTTCCATCTGGCCTCTGTGTGACTTTCCCTCCCAGGAGGACCCAGGCCACAGCTGAGATCACCAGTGGAGAGTCCCTGTCGGCCAACATTGAGTGGAAGCTGACCCTGTGGACCACCTGTGGCCTCTCCAAGGATGGTTCTGGAGGATGGCAGGACTTGGTCTGCCTGGGAGGCAGCCGTGCCCAGGAGCAGGTGGGTGCTAGCCAATTACATGGGGCCTAGGGAGGGGAGGCTCAGGTGGGGCCACATCCATGGCCTTCTCTTGCAAATCCTGTGGCCTCTCCCTGCCTTGGTGGCCAAGACAGCCACTCCCACCCACAGGAGTGAGTGTTCAGTGACATGATGCAGGTGGCCACTCCGTGCCGCACCTGACTCAGTCACGTGCATCAGCATTAGCTGTTGTGTGTTGCTCTCCTGCTCAGAGGCCGCCTTTGGCTCCCCATTGACTGCAGAATAAAGTTCAGACTCCTCAGCCTGGCTTCGCTGCTCTCCTGAGCACTCACTTGTCCTAGTTTTCTAGTCTTTTCCCCATGCTCTGGCCACCGTGTGCCATTACTGCCCTCTACACACGCCCTGGTGTCCTGCCACTGGGCCTCGTCCATGCTTGGCTGTAGGCGTGGACACCCTTTTCCTCCAGAACATTTTTCCTAACTCATCCTGCTGGCCTTCTCTGGAAAGCTTCTGTGACACCCCTCAGCTTGAAGGTCTTTCTCTCTGCTACATCACCACTCGCTTTATCAGGCCTTTCCCAGGGCTCTTAGAACAGCCCATCCTGCGTGTGCTGGGGAGTGTGACTTTGTCTCCTGACAGCCAGGGCTGTGTTTTATTGCCTCTGAATTTCCCAATGCTTGGCATCAAGGGGGTTCAAAGGTATTCTGTCCATAAGCATTTCTTGAGTCTCTACCCTATAGTCACACACCAGCCTCCTGGCGCGCAGCCTCTAAGCAGGTCTGGGCCGACATGGGCTGTGCAGGGCAGCCTCGAGTCAGGCAGACTCGGGTTCAAATCCTGGCTCTGGGCTGGGTGCGGTGGTTCACACCTGTAACCTCTGCACTTTGGGAGGCCAAGGCGGAGGATCACTTGAGGCCAGGAGTTTGAAACCAGCTTGCACAATATAATGAGACCTCCATCTCAAAAAAAATTTTAAAAATTAGCCAGGTGCGGTGGCATGTGCCTGTAGTTCCAGCTACTCAGGAGGCTGAGGCAGGAGGATCACTTGAGCCTAGGAATTTGAGGTTACAGTAGGCTATGATCGTGCCACTGCACTCCAGCCCGGGCAACAGACTCTCTAAAAAAAAAAAAAAAAAAAAAAAAAAAATCTGGCTCCAAGAGCTTAGCTGAGTGATCTTAGGCCGAGTGTTTAAAACTCTCTGATCTCATGTTCCTTATTTGTTAACACATGGGCAACCCACAGAGCCCTCTGCACAGGGCAGACACTTGGTAAGCGGCCAGGAGGTGGGAATCCTCGCAGTCTTCAGGTCAGTCTGGCTGGTGCAGAGGGCAAAGCTCTTGGCCATACTGCCAGCCAGGGTCCAGGTGGGCCCATGCAAGTACTGCTGGCTGGGGTCGGCATAGCCGTGGAAGCTAAGGTGTCTGAAGGGTGGCTGGGGCAAGCATCTCCGTGGCTGGCTGTTGGACTCTCAGCCCGGATTCCAGGGCCCAGTCACCATCCCGCCAGAGCTGTAGCAACGATGTATCAGGAAGGTCTGCTGAACCATGTCCTTACTGCTTTGACGACAAGCCCCTGCCCTGCCCTCCCGCCTCATCTGGGGCTCTCCCAAGTTAGCTGAACCTGAGGAGGCTTGGTTTCTGCAGCGGAGCCTCAGGCTGGCCACACCTTTGGGCCACCCAGCGCTTGCTGGCTGCTCCAAAGCACGGAGTTCTAGAGCGGGCTCTGCCCTGGAGAGCTTGCACTGCAGTGGCCATGCAGTTGGGCTGCCGTGGGCCAGCCTGGCTCAGCATGGCGTGGGACACAAAGGCAGGGTAGCTCCAGCCCGGGGCTCATGGGGGCCCAGTCTGGGGAGCAGACAGGCCAGAGATACACTGTCACTCTGTTGGGGTGAGCACTGAGCTGGTGGTGGGCACAGGGCTCTCCAGGGCATAGCAAAGACACCTGAGCTCAACCCAGAGCTTGGGGACAGCTTGTGGAACAGGTGCCACTGCCCAGCTGCAACTGGAGGGGAAACTGGAGCAGAACGGAGTGGGGACTTGGGGCTCATAGAAGCGTCTTAGTAATAGCCCCCGGAGCATCTCCACTGCGAGCAAGAGCAATGTCTTGTGGCACTAGTGATACCCAGCCTCATCTAGAGTAGTGGCCTCTTTAACATCAAATCATTTCTCAGCTCTTCTCCCCGCACATGACAGTAGTTGAACTTCAGCACTGGTCAGGCAAGAACATGATGGCAGAGAGCCACTCGGAATACAGAAAGCTTTTAGATGACTGTTTATCAACCGTAACACGTCTCCAGACGTGTGCAGTGGCCTGCCCATGGGGGACAGTGTGCTGTGTTTTGCTTCCTCTGCTACGTCCTTACCCGAGCCAGCTGTTGGGTAGCCAGAGCCTAGCAGCACACTGCATGTGTGAGAGTTAAGTCAAGGTCCCCCCAGTGCCTCTGCCCCCCACAAGGGGCACAGGACCCCCATGTTTTAAAGTGTCCTGTCCATAGTGTTTCCCTTCCAAATTCATGCATTCCACAAAGACCACGTGAGGCACTGGGGCTACAGTGGTGACCATGTCAACCGTGGTTCCCTCCTACTGACAAGAGGACACGCACCCCTGAGGCAGCAGCAAGGAAATCTGTGGGTAGAGTGGGTGTGAAGAGGGCTAGGCAGGGGGTGAGTGGGTCTGGGGGGCACATTTGCCCAGCCATGGTGGTCAGGGAGAGCTTCTGGAGCAAGAGGTGTCCAGGGCCATTTGCCAAGGGAGAGAGCAAGGATGAAGAGAGTGCCCAAGACAGGGAACAGTGTGTGGAAGGGTACAGACATAGGAGGAGGCCAGGAGCATGGGACGCTGAGAGGAGGGAGGTGGTGGGTGAAGGAGGGAGGAGGCACCGCAGGGAAGGGTGTGCAGGTGAGATCCCTCTGGCTGTGCGTGGGAAACGGGTGGGAAGGAGGCCATGAGACCCCCTAGGAGAGCCAAGCAGCAGGGCGTGGGTGCCAGCTCCCTCTGAGACTGAGGGTGTGCCAGCGTTCACCCTGGGCGGAGGTGAGCGGGTGATGGCGGGGCCTGAGGAAGTGTGGAGTGGGGGTGCGGTGGGAGGGTGCTGGGCTGGGGAATCTTTGAGGCTGCCAGATAGAAGAAGCTTCCATGAGTGCAAACACCAGGTTTGTTGCTGAGAAGAGGCCTGGGCTGGGGACAGATGTGGCTCTGGATGGGGAGATGTGTAGGGTGGTGGCAGACCCTGAGGAGCACACAGGTGGGAGGGATGCAGAGGCCCTGGCGCTCCTGGGGTGGATGGTCCCGAGTGAATAGTATGGGACAGCCCCAGTGTCCTTGACACCTGCTTCCCTCCCCACAAGCCCCTGCAGCAGCTGTGGAATGCCATCCTGCTGGTGGCCATGCTCCTGTGCACAGGCCTTGTGGTCCAGGCCCAGCGGCAAGCATCGCGGCAGAGCCAGCGGGAGCCCGGAGGCCAGGTGGGAGCCAGCCCAAGGGAGCCCCATTGCCCCCAGCCCTTGGGCCTGCAAGACGGTGCCCGTCCTCTCCTGACAGGTGGATCTGTTTAAGCGCCGCGTGGTGCGGAGACTGGCGTCCCTGAAGACACGGCGCTGCCGTCTGAGCAGGGCAGTGCAGGGCCTCCCGGAGCCTGGCGCCGAGACCTGCGCCGTGTGTCTGGACTACTTCTGCAACAAGCAGGTCAGTGCCGTGGCAGAGACCGGCCATTGGCTGAGCTGTGATGCCTCCCATCTGGCTGCCAAGAGACCACCCCAACCACGCCTTTCTTCCAGCCCCCACCAGGGCTACAGAAAGCAGAATTATGGGAGTGGGCAGGCCACCAGGTTTCAGTTCCCCAGCTTGGGTGAGGGGCATGGTACCAGGCACCCCCACCTGGAGTCCTGCCCCCGTGGCCTGAGCCCTTCCTCCCCGACCCCTGCAGTGGCTCCGGGTGCTTCCCTGTAAGCATGAATTCCACCGAGACTGTGTGGACCCCTGGCTGATGCTCCAGCAGACCTGCCCGCTGTGCAAATTCAACGTCCTGGGTGAGCAGCAGGCGCGGGGCCCTTTGGCCGATGCCACCTGGCGCCCACCTGATGCCTCCCTCCCCGTTCTTTTTCCTCTTCCCCTGTAGGGAACCGCTACTCAGATGACTAGCTGCCCCCACTGGACTCTGCACATGCGATGGACTCCTCTTGCCTGTACCCCGCCCTCAGCCTGGCTACTGGGACAGGACAGTGGGCTGGACGGGACAGCAAGCCCTGTGGGTGGGAGGAAGGATAAGGGCCCCACCTCCATATCCACACTGGGAGGGAGGGACCCGCAGCGTCAGGATGAGGATGCAGGGCTTGGAGCTGCCATCCAAGGAGGAAGGGTTGCTTTGGGCCCTTCTCTGGAATCCTGGGACATCTATCTGCATCTATCTTTGTCACAGGAGCTCCCAGGTCACTGGGCGAAGACAAATGTGGGGCCAGTGCAGCTGTCCCCAGGGCTCTGGGAAAGCTCTCTGTGGCCTGCCAGGGCATCCCTGAGGGCTGAGGCTGTGGCGGCCAGGCTTTGTGCTTATTTATTGGGGCGGCGGACTGAAGGAAGAGCTGTCTGGTGTTGGGACGCCCTGGCCTGACCATCCTTCACGCTATGTCTTGGTCAAAGCTGTGAAGTTAAGCCCAGAGACTCCTCCACTGCCTGTGGCCCTGGGACTCCTGGGCTGCCTTCCCGGGCCTGGCTGGGACCAGAGGCCTTAGAAACCATCTATTCCCGTACTTCTGGTTGGGGCTGTGTGTCGCTGACCAGGACACTTGAAGCCACAGGATAAATGTGGTGCATCTTCCGGGGCATCCATTTTTTTTTTTGAAAAAAACAGTTGGGGTTGGGAAGGTTTAATAGTAAAATAAACGTGGATATATTTTAACATAAGATGTAAAATCGTACGGATGTTTTAAGAGAAAGTCACCTTGGGTTCTACCACCTGTGGTAGGTGGAATTCTAAGGTAGCCCCCAAGATCTGCCCCTTTGCTCCCCCACCACAGACATGCCTTGTGTAATCTCTGAACTGTGATGAAGGGATTTCACTCCCGTGATTAGGTGCTACGTGGCATAGCTGACCTTAAGACAGTATCCGAGTGGGCCTGACCTGACCACGTGAGCCTGTGAAAAGCACACTTTTCTCCAGCTGCTCGAAGAGGAAGTCAGGGATTGGAAGCACGAGGGGGATTCAGTGCGTGAGCAGCTCTCTGTTGCTGACTTGGAGCTGGAGGGAGCCACGTGGCAAGGAGGTGGATGGCCTCTAGGAACTGAGAGCCAGCCGCAAGGAAATGGGGACCAGTCCTATGGCCGCAAGGATCAAAATTCTGCTAACCACCAGAGCGAACTTGGAAGTGGATTCTTTCCCAGAGCCACGGCAAGGGAACGCAACTTAGTGGATACCTTGATCTTAGCCTTCTAAGGCCTTGAGCAGAGAACTGGGCCATGCAGAGCCTGCCTTCTGACCTCCAGAGCCAAGAGCTAATTAATAAATGGATGTGGAGTTGGCGGAGGCCTGAGAGAGTCGCTCAGCTGTGGGGGGCCCCTCTTGGGCACAGGCCTCCTGCTCAGAGCTGGCTCGCCCCTGTGAGGGAGGGGCTGGGGCCCCTCGGAGGCAGAAGTTGGGCAGACCCGGCTGTGCCAGTCTTCTCTGCACACAGCACTTGCTGACGCCTGCTAACTGAGGCACGCTGCCTGGTGGCCCCCTCATCCAGAGAGGATGCCATAGGCAGCTGGGATTGTGCACCCTGAGAAGTCCTCAGCAAGGTCTTGGAGCCTGTCCTTTACAGCGGAGGTGACTCAGGGAAGGTTGGAGGCTTCGTTAGCAAAGCTTGATAGCTGTGTATCTGGTGTAGCAGGTGGCATCAGAGCCCAGCCGCGTGGCATCCTGGGCTGGGTGGGCTCCAAGGGACAGGCTTGGTCAAGCCAGTGCTGGCTGGGGTGTCCCGCTCTCTGGTTGTGCGAGGCTTTGCCCTGCCCTGAGTGGCCTCCTGGGGCTCTGACCTCCAAGATTTGGAGAAACCCTTTGTGACTCTCACCCAGGGAAAGGGGACCTGACGTTCTTGGGCCCGTCATGTCCTCAGCCCCAGGTTCAGAGCCAGGGTGGGAGGCTAAGGGCACCGCTGCCCTCTGCCTGCCCCTGTGAGCCCAGAGCAGGGTCCCAGCCTCTGACTCCTTGCTTTTCAGGTGTCCTCACCGGCCCTTCCCTGCACACCTCCACCCTGATCCTCCTCTCCACTGGTGCCAGTCACTGAGTCCAGGTTTACCCCTTGGCCCTTGCTGGGGGATAGAAAGACTGCCCTTCACCTGGCCCATGCACTAGAAGCTTCTTTCTGCCCTTGGTGTGCTCTCCTCTCCCATAGTCTGCCAGGAAGGAGGCAGGAAGTTTCCACTTACTGAGGGCTCATAGTGCCAGGACTCTGCTGGCCAATGACCTGCATGGCTGCGGACTCAGTGGCCCCTGCTCAGGAGAGGGGAGGAAGGGCTGTCCCCCCGACTTAGCCATGCTGAGGCCAAGATTGCTGTGGGTACATGGTGGGGGCTTTATTACAGTGGGTGGGTTGCCAGCCGCCTGCCATCCAGCCCCAGCCCTGCTGCAGGCTACGTGAGCCGCTTCTGGGGCTGGTGTGCAGATCTGGCCTGGCCCTGGCCTGGTGACAGTCTCCTCCTCAGCCTGGCCAAGGCCTGGATGGGGTTCTGGACACAGATGGCCGAGTGGGTCACATCCTCCAGGGAAGGCTTGCTGGGCCGGCCGCAGGGCTGCTGAGGTGTGGATGCTCGGGGCTGGCCTGGCAAGGTCCTGCTTGCACTGCCTGTCCTGCTGCTGTCAGGAGGGTGCCACTTGCCCAGGGGCCTGAAGGAGGACCAGATCCAAGATCCTCTGTGAGCAAGGGGGACCACTCCACCCACCCACCTGCCCCACCTCTGGCAGAGCCTCACTCACCCTGGGGATGCCCTCTGAGCCTGCACTGGGGGTGCTGCTCCCTGAGTTCCCTTGCTGGAAGGGGACAAGAGCTGGTCCTGTGGGATCAACTGCAAAGAAAGCCAAGCTCGGGAGGGCCCAGGAGGCCCCTCCCTACTGTACAGAGAGGATTTCATAGCCAGGGATGGGGAGGGTCGGCCCAAACCCATAACCACAGTCCCTTCCCTAAGGGGCAGGGCGCAAGAAGCCTCCCAGGGCCCATCCTCAGCTGCAGACTCTCGGGCAGGCAATAAATGTGGGAAGGTTGCTTTTCAACAAGGCTCTGGCTGCATGTGACATACAGGTATGAAGGGCTAAGGGCGGCTTTGGAGCTAGAAGGCACTGGATCCATATCATCCTCAGGCCTTGACACACGGAAGATGTTTCACAAAAGCGCAGCCTACAGCCACGTGTAATGAGGTGGGCTTTCACCAATTCCCACGGTACAGTCTAAAGACCTCTGATGGGTAGGGGCTTCCTCCAAGTCCCCAAAGGACGACCCTCTCAGGCCCACCTTGAGGCCCCCCTGCTGGGCCACCTCCCGGATTTTAGACAGCATTGACTGGAGCCGCCCGTTCTCCTCCTGCAGGACCCGGATGCGGATGTCATTGGCCTGCACTTGCCTCTCCATGTCGTCCATGACGTTGCCGGAGTCTGCAGGGACATGCTATCTGGGCCCTCACACCCCACCGGCTCTGCCTCTGGTGCCCAGTGGGACAGGACCGCAGAGAGCAGGCACACCAGCGTGGGTGGGTGGGTGGCCTGGTAGGCGCAGGCGAGCTGGGCAGAGCACTGGGCCTCCCATCTTGTCTTCCTGCTCCTGAGGCCTTGTTCCCCCTTCCCTGTCCCCCTGCCGTGGGAAGGTGACCACAGTATTAAAAAACTTGAGAGCTGGGTGGGCCCTAGAGCTTGCAGAGGACTTAGCTAATAAGCAAGAGAGTGAATCTCTTCCAAGGCCGCCTGTTTTTGGCGGGCCAGAGAGAAAAAGTGAGTCGTCCAAAACCACACAGCCGGCGCTGGGCGTGAGTCACAGGCATTTAGGAGGTCGCCCTTTCCCGCGGCTGTGGCATGGACGTTTCCTTCTGGCTGCATGACCCTGGGCAAGCTACTGCCCGCTCTGCTTCTCGGTTTCCTGGTTTTTCCAAAGGGGCTGCTGACCGCCTCGCAGGGAGGTTGAGGGGGACGCGGGCCTGGCACTTAGTGCTCAGGAGGGATGACTTCCCGTGAGCAGCTGCACTGAGCAGCTCCTCCGGACACTCTGCGAATGGACCCCCCCCCCCAGAGCTTTAGAGGGCTGGAGGGGCTGGGAGGAGAACCTGGGTCTCCTGACATCTAATCCTGTGCCAAGATGGGGACCTAGCACTCCTGTGCCATGGGGTCCAGGACACCAGCCCCACAGCATGGTTTGGGGAGATGCCGGGAAAAGGGACGTAGGGAAGTGGATCAAGGGCATGTGACATGGTGAAGAGCATGGGCTACAGAGACAGCCACTCTGGCTCTGCATTTGGCGCTTGTGACTGGGGGCAGTCACATCACCTCCGGGCTTCCATATCCCTGTCTACACAGGGAGAGGAGAACACACAAAGCACCTGTGTGGTGCTGGCCAACCCTGCTGCAAGCTGGGGAACTGCAACCCCCAGTGTCCTGCCCGTGTGAGCCCTCAGCTGCCCACCCTGGGCCCCGGCATGCCTTTGGCACCATCCCTGGTCCCCTACTTTGGATCTGGGCCTCGCTGGGCCTGTGCAGGTCTGGGAAGGCCACCAGCAGCCGCTCCCGCTCCCTCAGCTCCACCAGCTGCCGCTCCAGCTCCAAGATGGTCAGCCGCAGGTCAGTGGTCACCTGCTCCAGGCCTTGCTTCTCCCGCTGCAGGCTCTGCAGCAGCTCCTGGGGCAGGGGGAGGCTTAGGCCTGGCTCCTGAGCCACATGCTCCTGGCTCCCCCGGGGACACTGTTCCCAACCCCCAGACATGAGACAGGCCTGCAGGCACTCGGGTGGCTGGAGGGAAGAACTGCCCTCACCTGCTGGGCCTGGAGCTGGCACTGCCCCTGCTCCCTCTCGGCCCGCAGCTGCTCTTCCACGTAAGCCCTCTGGGCCTCAGCCTCATCCAGGCTGCCCCGCAGCTCCTCGCGCTCCTGGTCCAGGCTGTCCAGCTGCTGTAGCAGGGCTCGCTGCTTGGCCTGCAGGGACTAAGTGGGAATGGAGGGGCAGGGAGGCCATTAGGCCCATGGGGCGAGGCCCAGCTATGTGGGACTAAAGAGGCTCCAGTATCTGCTACCCTCCCAGCCGCTGCCCTCAGGCCGTGTCTGTGCATAGGCGAGGCTGGCACAGCAGAGGGCAAGGGGCAGAGGGAAGCCTGGTGGCACACGTGCCCCCTGAAAAGCACTTGGCTGACTCTGGGCCTCACCCCACTTCTTCCCAGTCACAGTCCCCACTTGGAGAGGAACTCTAGGAACCAGGCTTTTCTCATAAACCTTAGGTGCCCAGTGTCACATCAGCCCGTGTCACTGAAACCCACGTCTCCCGACATCCACAGTGTAAAGCAGGAAGAGCCTACGCTAGCCTGCTCTGAGTCCAGGGTCCACCTCTCGCTAGCCGTGCGGCCTTGGGCCACTTCCTTAACCTCACCAAGCCTCAGTTTCCACATCCTTAAAATGGGGATGATAACAGCATCCATCTCCTATTCTTATGGCAGGGAGTGAGAAGGAGAGGGCTGCAGAGCCTGAAGCCCAGTGCCTGGGTCACAGCAGACACCCAATACGTGGTGGCTCTGACTGTTCCCAAGGCACTGAGAAAAGCACCCACTGGGGCAGAAAGGATTTCCCTATCCAGGGCCCATGCCTGACCCTGGGGACTGTAAACTGGGCTCCTGGCTCCCCGCTGAGCCTTTGCAGGTAAGCCCAGCCAGGACAGCCCCAGACCTTCCCCCTTCACTGGGTGACCAGTACCTGTTCCCTCAGCCACACCCCTGTGAGACCCCACTGCCCAGAGTACAGCTGCACCGTGGCTCACCCTCTGCCCTCCCTGTCCTTCCCCTGGCTGATGGGCTAATCATCAGCCACTGGTGTCCTGCTCAAAGGCCACCTCCTCCCAGAAGCCATTCTGGATTCCCACAGCATACGTGGCTGGGCCTCCCTGGACCCCTGCAGCACTTTCCCCGCCCCTCTTAGCCATCTGACAGGAGAGATGCGACATATCTGCTCTTCCTTGCCTGGTGGGGAACCCTCCAGAGTGAGGCCTCGTTGGGCGGTATCTGTCCCTGGGTCACTGTTCCCCCAGTCCCGGCTCAGGGCAGACTCTCTGTACACAGATACATAGATGAGCCCCCCAATCCCTGCCAGTGGAGCCCTCTTCCTGCAGCCCACATCGTGGGCACCCAGGGCCTGGCGAGGCCCCCGGCCTCACCTCCTGGTGGCGGACCATGCTGTCGACGCGGGCCTTCTCCTTGTCCAGCTCCGTGCTGGCCCAGCAGATCTGCTGGCTGGCCCCCTCCAGCCGCCCCGCCAGCAGCTGCACCTGCTCCTCCAGCTGCTGCACTTGCCTCTCAGCCGCCGCCCTGCGCTCGCCTTCCTCCTGCAGCTGCTGGGCCTTCGCCTCTGCAGGATTGAGCGGGTGTAGGAGGGGTGGGGCAGGGGAGCCCTGGGTGCAAGTCCCTGCACTACCTCTGACCCAGCTGGGACCGGAGGAGGAGGTCACATCACATCTCCAGGCGTCAGTGTCCTCCGCCACAAAATGGGGCTCTGGACCCCTCACCCGAAGTGGGTTTGTAAAACAGAAGGCGCTCCCTGGGTGGGAGGTGGCACCCCAGCTTGGTCATTGCTCAACAGTGTGGACGCTCAGGGGACAGAGATGGAGGGTGCTTGTCCAACTGTGGTACAGCTTGAGATGGGGCTTCTTACCCACAGCCTGCGTGGACTCCTGCTGCTGCTTCAGCTCCCTTTCCAGGGCGGCCACTTTTGTCTTTAGGTCACTGGTTTCTATGGCAACCGAGAGAGAGGCCCTTCAGAGGCGCCTTGGGCCAGGCCAGCGGCCTTCACACCCAGCGTGCCCTGCAGCGTGGAGGCAGCCGTCGTAGTGCAGAGGGGCCACCTGGGGTTATAGGGCTCTGGGGAGGGCCAGGGGTTCTGGACCCTGTCCACCCTGCTGGCTGCCACATGTCTGCACCTCTGGGCCTTGGAGCCCTCCATGGCGGCAACAACGAGGGTGAGAAAGAGCAGTGACTTGCCCGAATCCCTCAGGCCTCATGTCAGCAGGCGCCGGCCGATCTCCAGTGCCAGTAGCGGCATCTCTAACAGCTTTCACCAAAGCCACAGGGGCTGCTGCGCTTGGCTGGAGGTGCCAGGGGATTAACTCCCGGCAAGTAACCCTCCATGACCAGCAGAGTGAGTGGATACGTACCCCAGTCCCCTCCCCTCCTGACAGGACAGGTCAGAGGCATCTCCTGGCATCCCCCAGTGGGACTGGGCTCCGGTTGCTGAGGATGTCACTGTCACTGCTGGATAAACACACCCTTCTTTGCTGCCTCCCATTCCCTGTTTCTTGCCCACACCCCAACCTAGGTTTCTTCCACACAGACTGCTTGTACTCGAAGCCCTGTCCCAGGAATGCCCATGCTAAGGCTGTGGCAGAGCCCTGGGCACTAGGTGTCCAGCCCCTGGGGCACAGACCTGTGAGCAGCTGCTGCTTGTCGTGCTCCCACTCGGCCACGCGCTGCTTGGCCTCCTCCGCCTGCCGCTGCCGCGCCCCCTGCTCCTGCTGCAGCGCCTGCTCCAGCCTGCCCGCCTGCTTCCTCAGTCCGGCCTTCTGCCCCTCGGCCTCCTCCAGCTGGGCCCTGAGGGGCCCGACAAGCTGAGACAGGGCCCCCACATGCTTACTGAGGCGCGTCAGGTCCTTGCTCTGCTCTGCTGCCCAGTGGCCCACGGTGGCAGCTGGCAGCGGCCTGAGCCCCATGCTGTCCTGCACCAGCTGCTGGAACTGGCCTAAGGATGAGGGCAAGTTCTGGCTCTGACACAGGCTGATGACCACCTTGCCCACCTCCTGCAGGCTGCCCTGGACGCTGGTGCACGCGTCACAGGGCACCAGGGCCGTCTCAATGGTCTGGCAGTGGACACTCTTGGTGTTCTTGGTCGTGGCTAGACGCTGCAGGGAGACTCTGACAGGGACGGTCTCCGGCTCTTGGCAGGTCTGGGGCAATCTTGGCATTGGGGAGGGGGCCTTAATGAACTTGGCAGTCATACGTTCAGGGCTCCTGGCCGGCTCGCCCTTGGCTGTGGGCTTGGAGGTGGGGGTTTCCCCTTGATTTTCCCTTTTCTGTGGTCAGGAAAAGAAAAGAAGGCAGGTGAGGGAGATGGGCCTGGGAGGTGACCAGTTCTCTGGGGATGTTCTGTGATAGCCTTGCCTGAGGCGCAGACCCTCAGATGTTATCTGACACCAGCATGACTAGGAGAGAACCATCTCCCTCTTTCCCACTGACTCACCTTACCAAGCCAGGCCCTGCTCTGCTGCCCCCAGCCCCGCCCCAGGCTTGATGTGATTATACGCACGCTATCGGGAAGGTGATGGTGACAGTAACAGCTGCCGGTTACTGGGCTCTTGCTTAGTGGACTTGCCTGCTCTCATGTCACTATAACTACTCTCGCTTTTAGTTCCCTCCCCGACATGGTGATAGTGGTCGTTCCCCACTGGGTGGTTGTGGGGATTATGGGAGGAGCCATAACAAATGAGGCTCATATTCCACCATTGTACATATGAAAAAACTGAGGTTCAGAGTAGGGAGGATTTCTCTAGGGTCCTACAGCACAAATGGCAGAGCCAGGGAGTCCAGACATGGCCCCCAAGGCCTGTGTTCTTAACTGCTGTCCTATGTGGGCCTTGACTGGGAGGGCAGTGGGGAGCCAGTCAAGGATGCAGCACACATGTGGTACCCCAGGAAGCTGGAGCTGGGTAGGGTGATCATAGTTGGGGGAGAAAGGGCGGGTCCAACCCACCTGGGGGGCTGCCTGCTGGTAGAGCATGCCCAGCCTCAGCAGGCTGTTCCAGAAGCGTCGCACCGTGAGCCCCACAGACATGCAGGGCCCCACAGCCTGGGTGGGAGGCATCATCTGCTCTGAGCCAAGGGTCTCCAAATAGCTCGCACAGCTCTGAAGTAGCAGCAGGAGCCTATAGGCAGAGATGCCAAGGTTGCTGGGACCTCAGCTGGTGCCAACATGCTCCCTCACACCACACAACTGGCAGCTTCTGGCTCTGGGAAACTGGCCCAGGCACCAGGGCCCTGGAGAGTCTCAGCACATGCTGTTGGGCTAGCCTCAAACCCAACTCAGGGGTCACTTCCTCCAGGAAGTCCTCCCTGGTCCCAAGTTCAGTTCAGGGGGCCTCTTGTGGTCCTCCTGGGTAGCAGCACTTCTGCCTGGTTGTTTCCCCACTGGACTGGAAAGCTCTAGGAAGCCAGGCCTGGCCTTGCTTCAGTTGTATCCTGAATCCTTGGAAAGTTCTGGGTGAATAGCTACCTATGTCAAGTAGCCCAGAGCCTTTCCAGATGACAGAGCTGAGACCTCGAGAGGGGAGGAGCCTGCCCACAGCCACAGGGCGAGTAGGGCAGGGCAGGGGTGTGTGTGCAGTCTCCTGATCCTAGGCAGGGGCTTCTCCTACAGGGCGAGCCGTTTCTGTGACAATGGAGACTTGAAGTAAAGTACAGCGAGGTCTCTATCCTAACCTCCAAGTTCAAAATTAGAGTCAGGTGCTAATTTTAAGGGAAAAGGGTGTTAGAAAGGTAAGTGGGGTCTTGGGCAGAGAGGGCCTGGGGGAGGAGGTGCCAACCACCTCCAGGCCCTGCCCGTCTCTGGCCAAGGTGTCCTCCTCTGTGAATGGGGACAACTGGCACTAGGGAATGGGAAGGCATCTGGAAATAGGACAGAGCATGGCCTCAACAGAGCCATCTGTCTTCCCAGACAGCTCCACCCTTGTTGGGGGAGACTGCTGTACCGCCTGTGTCCTTAGCCACCACCCCATCCACGAACTGAGCTCCTCTAAAGGCTACACCGTGGGCTGAAGGCCATGGCCTTGACCTCCAGCTTCTCAGGCTGGTCTGGCTCTCAGACCCAGCAGCCTCTGCCAGCAGTTACTTATACACACAGGAGTCCGGAGGGTCTGACTCAGCCAGAGGTGGGCAGAGGGGTCAGGCAGGGCAGGGGCATGTCAGTGACAGCTTGACAGAGAAGAGGGTAGTAAGCTGGGCCTTGATGGCGGAGTGGGGCTCGGCCAGACCAGGAATGGGGGTCAGGGCATTCCTAGCAGAGGGACAGCACAGTGCATGGTGCAAAGCTGCAAAGGAAGGAAGGTGTGTTCTGTGCTCTCACATGTCCAGTCCCTCACAGGTTACAAATGGTGCTTTCATTCCGAGGGCTCCTCTAGGCCTCAGGGTGGTAACCCTGGCTTCTCTGTCCCCAGGCAGGTCATCCTGCAACTGCTAGGGTCCCTCTCACATCTCTGCTGCCTGCCTGGCCCCGATGGCTTTATTAGTGTGTAAGGTTTTTGAGCACGGGGAGCCTGGGCTGCGGTCCCCAGGAAGTAGAAGGCCAATGACCACGTTAACCTTAATGATAGCACGGAAGTGGTGGGGCTGCAGGGGCATCCACTAGCCTCTATCCAGCAGGGCCAGGATTTGGAAAAACATGTCCATGTCTGGCCTTGTGATAGGCAGAGGGAACAGCACCGCCCGCAGGATGCCAGGGAAAAGAGTCTGGGATGGAAACTCCAAGCAGCAGCTATGGCATCTCCGACACACAGACACTCTGAGGGAGCAGCTGGAAGTGGCTGGGAGGCAGCAGCCAGAGCTGTGGTGCCACAGAGACCAACAGGCCAGCAACTCCCTGAGGCAGACAGGACAGCATCGCCTAGCACACAACACAACCAAAGGTGAGATCGCTTTGAGGTTCCTGAGCTGGTCTGGTCCCTGCCAGGTAGTCAGCCAATGGTGAATGTTGTTCCCAATGTCATCATCACTCCTGGAGGAGGGGGTGGGCTTCTGCAGCTGCTACTGGTTTAAGGGGCGGGTGCCAGCATCCTGAGATGACTAGGATGGTCAAGGCCCTCACCTGTCAATGACCAGCTCCAGCAGCACGGCGTGGGACAGCTGCGTGAACTCAGGGTCACCTGGCACATGGTCATAGTGCTCTAGCAGGGCCACCATGTCGAGGTCACAGGCCACGCGGTCAGGGAACTTCCAGGAGGGGAAGTGCACAGGCCCGGCACGAGAGAACACGTCCACGATGGCGCCCTGCAGGTCAGTGAGGTCCCTGCGTAGGCTGTCCATGCAGACCTGGCTGCCCAGCAGGTGTGCCATCCTTGCAGCTCCTGGGGCAGGAGAGAGGGGTCCTGCTAGCCAGAGCCATGAGCTGCTGCTGGAGGAACTCCCTAAAACCCTAATTTGCCTGGTGGCTCCTGAGCTGAAAGTCCACTGCAGAACATGGGGAGAAGTCTGTTCCCCAGTCCCAGGTGATGAGGCCTTTCAGGACCTGATTCTGGGCATCCTTGCCAGCCTCCCTGTCACCTACTCTTCCCCATGCTCCAACTGCTGAGTCCATCATCTCACAAGCCCCTCCTCAGAACCTGTGTGCCAGGCCCCAGCTAAAGGCTGAGAGGACACAGCTGTGAATAAGAATGCGCCTACCATCCTTCCCTCCCAGGGCGAACCCTCAAACATGGGCACAGACAACTGAAAGAGAGTTACAGCTACAGTGCGGTGGGCAGTGTTGGGCCACACCAGGCCACTGTCATCTCCCGCCTAGATCATTGCAGCAGGTTCCACCTGGGCCACAGGCCTGCCTGCTCCGATCTGATCAACTTCAGCTCCAGAGATCTGGGCCAAACTCTATCTGACCACATCACACTGGCCAACAATGCCTCAGGACTCCCTGTGGCCTTTGGGAGAAAAGCCACCTCTGACCACAATCCCCACTCTTCCCTCTCCCTCTCCAGCCCCCTCCCATACTCTCTACTCCTACCACCAGCAGCTATGAGCAGCAGCTTACGCACCAGGGACTTGTCTCTGAATCCTTGCCTATCTGCCCCTCTGTCTGAATCATGCTTCCCCGTCTAATTCCCACCACCTGGCTGACTCCTCTCACCCCCCCTCAGGGTTCCTGGATATCACCTCCTCCAGGAAGGCTTCCCTGAGCACCCTCCAGGCTGGCTTAGATAAGCCCTCTGGGCTCCCCCATCTCAGCTCTGATTGCTCTCTGCCCAACAGCCTCCTCTTCAGGCCACCTTAGTCACTGTGGTATCTCCAGTGTGGCCAGCCTGGGGACTGGCCCATTGTAGATGCTCACTGGTAAATGAAAGACCGAGTGATTGAATGGAGAAGAGAAAAAGAATCACAAAGAAAATTTCAAATGCACTGATGTTTAGGGGAAAACAAGTCCTAAAGTGTAAGAGAAGAAAACCTGAAGACTTGTACTGAGACCTGTCCTAACCACTCTGGTGACAGGGAGCCCACTACATCTTGATACAGAGTCCCAGCCCTGCCCCTTCCTGGCTGTGTGGCTTCAGGCAAGTCACTTTACCCCTCTGAGCCCCAGCTGCTTCAGCTGTAAAATGGGGACACTGTCCCCAAGCAGTCTGAGTTGTTGTAAAGACTTTAAAGGGGTCATGAGTACAGTGCTTGGTCCAAGACAAGGCACCAGTGAAGTTCTTGAGCAATATTAACTATTATTATTAGGAATAATATTATTAGCAGTAACAACAGCAAAGACTTCCTTGTCTTGAGCAGATGCCTGGCTCCCATACTTCCCTGTTCCCCAGGGGCTCACATTAAATGCTTTTCATTCATCTTCCGGAGCCTGTGGATACCTGAAGACAGTGATTAGATGAACCATCCATGGCCCTTGACTCAGAAGCTGGAGAGGCAGGACACTGTCCTGGCCCGTCCTGTGGCTTGTCACCCTCTGGCAGGGCTGGGGTGCGAGTCGGCAGCTGGTTTCAGAGCAAGTACTCCGCTGGGAGTAGGGCACCTGTGCAGATGCTGAGCTCTGGCCCCTCCCACCTGCCAGCAGGGGCCCCTTGTCCTTCGCGGATGTCTCAGTAGCAGGAAGCACCTCCTAGCACCACAGCCCCTCCCTGCAATGCAGGGGCTACTGGGGCAGTACTTAGGCCACAGTCCCTGCTGCCTCTAGCAAGTCCAGGCTGGCTAGGAAGCCCCTTTTCTTCAAAATCTGTCCTCCCCTGACCTCCCTCATCTCAGAAAATGGCACCTACTGTGTGCACCATGGCTTAGCCCGAGCCCAGGTGTGTCCTCGAATCCCCTCTTTCCTCTACCCCCACATCATTCCAGCACCAAGTGTGCTAATCCTACATCCAGGCCATACTTGGAAGCCAGCACATCTCTCCACTGTCACTGCTCCTGCCCCGCCATCTCCCCAGACCACTGACATAGCCTCCCTGAGAGGTCGCCCACTTCCCTTGGGCCCAGCACCACCTCATCCATCCTGTCCATAGCAACCAGAGTGACTGTTTAAAAAGGCAACTTGGCCTCTGCTCAGAGCCTTTTAATGTCTTTCTGCAGCACTAAAGACTGGGAAACTTCCTGGGGCTGTGGCCCTGTGTGGTCTGACCCCTCCGCTTCAATGTCTCACCACCCAGAATGCACCCCTCCCCATAATTCATCTAGATAAGACACCTCCCTCAGGTCTTTACAGAAAGCTCCCCACGTCCCCAGGCCGGGTGAGGTCCCCTGTTACACCTTGTCAGAGCATTGTGTTCTTTTTCTTCCCAGTACACACAACCACTGGAATGGAATCATTATTTAAGTCATTATTAAGGAGCGACAGCCTGTCTCCCTGTGAGCGTGTGGTATGGCCTGATCGCCTGGGCCAAGAGGTCTGAGGGCCAGCTGGGAAGCTCAGAGGCACCTAGGGGTGGTTGCTGAGAGCTGACTTGGACTCTTCAGCCTCCCAGAGGACCAGGCCTTGCCCTCACCTCCATGCAAGTTTCTGCCTATAAAGCTGGAGCAACTGAGTGTGTCTGGCTCTTGTACAAGACTGTGGGCTCTGGGGCTCTAGGTCAGAGGCTTATCCAGGTACCTGGCTTCCTGTCTCCAGTGCAGGCCTTGCCACGAGCAGCTCTCCAGTCCCTGGGAATAGATGAAGGTGAGAGTGAGAGAATGCACAGTCAGGCAGGGCTTCCTGCGGGGCTGGGTGGAGGTTGTCTGGGAAGAACGGGAGGGTGTTCCAGGCCAGAGGAATGAGGTGAGGGAGAGGGCAAGTGGGATGCCTGCCTTGAGCCTGAGCAGAGGGCATGCATGCTTCAATAGTGCTAGTTCTGGCAGGGTGCAGTGGCTCATCCCTAAAATCCCAGCACTTTGAGAGGCTGAGGCAGGATTGCTTGAGGCCAGGAGTTCGAGACCAGCCTGGCAACACAGTGAGACCTCATCCCTCTCTCTCTCTTTTTTCCTCACCAATATAGTAACTAGGATCAAAACCCCATCTCTACAAAAAATAAGAAAAATTAGCCAGGTGTGGTGGCACGCATCTATAGTCCCAGCTACTCAGGAGGCTAAGGTGGGAGCATCACTTGAGCCCAGGAGTTCGAGGTTGCTGTGATCTGTGATCATGCCACTGCACTCCAGCCTGGGTGACAGTGCAAGACTCTGTCTCTAAAAATATTCTTTAAAAAATTTGCCAAGTAGAAGCTCAACCCTAGAAAATAAAAAACAAATAAAAAAAAAATAGTGCTAGCTCTGATTAAACCTACTGTGTGCCACTTCCCCAAATCTTCCTTTTTCATACAGAAGAGGAAACTGAGGCTCTGGAAAATTAGGGGACTAGCCCAAGGTCATTCAGGGAGCTGGGATTCTCAGTCTAACATCTCTATTCTATCTTCAGGCTATGCTGCTTCTAGAGCAGCAGTGTCCAAAAGAAATATAAGGCAAGCCATATATGGGATTTTAGATATTCTATTAGACACTGACGGGGTACAGGAAATGCTATCCCAAAATATAGCACCTTGGAAACTGAGAAAACTGCAGAAGCAGGAAGAACACAATCACCTTCCCCTTATCCATTTCCTTGAAATAGGCCACTAGCAAGGTCCCTCTGTGACCTTCTCCTTCCCTTCTCCTCTGTGACAGGTGTCCTGCCCTGTACCTACTTGAGAAGGAATGTCACAAAGGGACACCTAGAAGAATCTGAAAAATGGGCCTTGCTAAATTCTCCCCCAGTTTATTACTAAGATCATACTCTTTTGTCTTCCAATCGTACTTCTGCACAATTGTCTATAAAAATACACAGATCACCCCATTTCTTTGGGTCTTCATTTCTGAAGGCTTCCATGTTAAGGAAAAATTTATTAAATAAATTTGTATACTTTTCTCTTATAAATCTTTCTTGTTATAGGCATCTCAGCCATGAACCTAGCAATGAGTGAGGAAAAGATATTACTTTTTCTCCCCTACACGTTAAAAAGAAATTAAGAAATTTAAAAATAGGCAAATTAATTTTAATAACATATTTTATTTAACCCAATATACCTCAAATATTATCATTTCAATATGAACCCAAGATAAAATTATTATTATTACATTCTTATTTTTAGTATTATGTCTCAAAGTCCAATGTCTATTTGACATAGCACATCTCCGTTTGGACCAGATGCCATTCAAGTGCTCAAAAGCTCCATGGGCTGGTGGCTACTGTACTGAACAGTACAGGTGGAGAGTGTCAGATGCTGTGTGCTCATCCAGCAAATGGGGACTGATTATCAACTACATGCCGAACACTGTGTCAAGACTAGGGACAGAGGAGGGTACGTGGAACTCTGTACTCCAGGAACCACCAACTATGTCTGACAGTCTCTGCACAAGGTGAGCTTGGGTGTCAGTTCCACCCACGTGATGGGAAGTTATGTGTGTCTACCCCACGACACTCGCACACACAAACACACACATCCCACACACATGCTGCCTTGGCAACTACCTCTCATGAGCTACTGCTGCCCAAGAGATTTTATGTCCCCAAGGAGGGAGGTGGAAACAAAGGGAAACAACAAACTAAAACATTCTGGGTTTCCTTCTTGGAATGAGCATGAAGTAAATAAATAAAGCAAGCAAGAAGCCCCAAACTGGGAGCAATAGTATTCAGGTGGCAAAGCACCTGAAACTCATAAGCTTGCTTGAGAAGGCACCAAGAAACATTGATCTGTTCCCTTTCAAACAACTACAGCTGCTATCTGGAGCTGTCTTGGATATTAACTCCCATTAGCTTCTGGTTCAGATAAGTGGCAGCGAATGCCAGAATATCAAGACTATCCAAAGCTACCTTATGTCCTTCCTTCTGAAACTTGAGGTTGTGC